TATTCTCTGACTTTCCTGGATCTGTGGTTTGGTGTTTGACACTAATTTGGAGAAAATTCTTAGTCCTTATTGTTTCAAATATTTCTTCTGTCCTCTTCTGTCTTTCTTCTCATTCTGGTATCTCCATCCCCAACTTTTATAGTTGCTCCACAGTATTTGGATATTCTCTTCTGGTTTTTTTCCCCCCCAATCTTTTTTTCTTTCTGCCTTTCAGTTTTGTCAATGTCTATTTAGACATCCTCAAGCTCAGAAATTCTTTCCTCGGTTATACCCCATATCCATTAAGGTGTTCTTCATTTCTTCATGTGTTTTTCTTTTTTCTTTTTTTAGTAATCTTTACACCCTCTTTGGGGCTTGAACTCACAACCCCGAGGATCAAGAGTTGCATGCTCTTCCTACTGAGCTGGACAGGTGCCCCAAGACATTCTTCATTTCTGTTACAGTATTTTTTTTTTTTTAAGTCTAGCATTCCTTTTTGGTTCTTTCTTAGAATTTCCATCTCTCTTTTTACATTGTTCACTTATTCTTCCATATTTTCTACCCATTAGAGTCCTCAGCATTATCAATCAATCATAATTTTAAATTCCCGATCTCATAATTTCAACATCTCTGCCATATCTGAGTCTGGTTTTGATGCTTGCTCTGTCTCTTCCAACTGTGTTTTCTGTCTTTCAGTATATCTTGTAATTTTTTGTTGATAGGTGCACATGATGTGCTGGGTAAAAGGAACAGCTATAAATAGGCTTTTAATAATGTGGTGGTAAGTTGTGGGGAAAGGGAAAGCGTTCTGTAGTCCTAGGATTAGATATCAGTCTTTTCTTGAGCTGCTGCCTCTGGACTGTCAACATCAGACAACCCTGTCAGCCTTTCTCTCCCCCTTAGTTTAGACAGGATGACCATAGCAGGTTGGGACTGGGTCTTTTCCTTCTCTCAAGTCCATTGGGCTCTGATAAAACTCCAGCAAGTTCAGTTCAGGTTGAAGAGTTTCTCCTGAGGGCAGACCTTGTTAAGAGGAACTGGCTACTCTGGCATATTTCAAAATGGTTTCCCCTACTGTTAGCATAAGGGGATTTTTCTCTGATATTTGTTTTGAGAACCTGTTAGAGGTCCAGGAGGTAAAACTCACAGAAGCCTCCTCAATGACTGGGTTCTCTGGAGATTTTATATCTCAGACCTGTCTACAACAAGCCTCTAATGATTTCTCAGTTGTAGTTCAGGTTTCCAAACACTGACACTGATGCCTACAAAGGTTTCTGCTCTGGTAAGTTGTGAGTCTCTGTATTTACCTGGGAGTGTCTCCAAATTTAGGGGCAGCACCTTGTCCTGTGATGTCATTTCTCCTACAGGTATAAGAAGAGTTGTTGATTTTTCTATTTATTCAGCTTTTTACTTGTTCAAACAAAGTGGCTCCCAAGCTTCTTAAATGCTAGATTGAAAACTGGTAGTATTCTTTTGAATATTTTTATATAAAGGATCATGTGATCAATGAACAGAGATAGTTTTATTTTTTCCCTTCCAGTTTGGATACTTTTTATTTCTTTTTCTTATCTAATTCCTCTGGCTATATACGCCAGTAGAATATTACATAGCAGCAGTAAAAATGGGCATCCTTGTCTCATTCCTAATGTTAGGGAGAAAGTTTTTATTTGTTCGACATTGAGTATAATGTTAACTATGGACTTTTCATAAATATCTTTTATCATGTTGAACATGTTCCCTTCTATTCCTAGTTTTTTGGGAGTTCTCATTATGAAAGGATATTCGATTTTGTGAAATGACTTATGTGCTTCAAGTAAGATAATCATCCCCTCTCCCAGGTCCTATTAATGTATTATATTATTTTTTTTTTACACTGAACCACCCTTATATTCCTGAAATGAACCACTGTTATGGTGCATCATCTTTTTAATATGGTTTTGGACTTAGTTTGCCAGCATTTTGCTGGCATCTATATTCATTAGGAATACTGGTCTGTAATTTTCTTTTCTTGTAATGTTCTTAATATGTCTTTGGTATCAAGGTAATGCCGACCTTAAAGAATGAGTTGAGAAGTACTCCTTATTCTTGTCATCTTTGGAAGAGTCTAAGAAGGATTGGTGTTCATTCTTCTTTAAATGTTTGGTTCAGTCCACTAGTGAAAGCATCTGGCCTTGGACTTTTCTTTGCCACAAGTCTTCTTATTATTGATTACATCTTTTTACTTGTTATAAGTCTGTTAGATGTTCTTTTTTTTTTCTTGAGCCATTTAAAGTAATTTGTGTGCTTTTATAACGGTTTGTCAATTTTATCTTTCAAAATAATCAACTTTTGGTTTCATTCTCATTATTTTTCTATTCTCATTTTATTTAACTCTTCTCTAATCTTTATTAGTTCCTTCCTTCTGCTAGCTTTGAGTTTCCTTTACTCTTATTTTTATAGTTCCATAGATAGTAAAATTAAGCAACTAATTTGAGACCTTCCTTTTTTTTAAAATATAGTTACTTACAGCTACAAATCTCCCTCTGAGTACTGCCTTCGCTGCATCCAGTGTGGTGTTTTAATTTCATTCCTCTGTAGGTATTTTTCTAATTTCCCTTGATTCCTTCTTTGATCATTAATTAAGAGTATCTTGTTTAATTTCCACATTTTTTTTTTTTTTAACACTCCAGTTATTCTTATCTTACTGATTTTTGGCTTCATTCCATTGTGGCTAGAGAAGATACTTTGTATGACTTCAATCTTCTTACATTTTTGAGACTAGTTTTGTATCCTAACATCCAGCCTAATCTGGGAGAATATATCATGTGCACTTGAGAATATGTGTTCTGCTATGCTGAGTGGAAGGTCTGGTTGGTTATAGTGTTATTCAAGACTTTTTATCTTTACTCCTCTTCTCTCTGTATGTTCTATGTACTATTGGAAATGGGATACTGAATTTTCTGTTATTCAATAATTATTTCTCCCTTCAATTCTATTGAAAAGTATTCCTAGTGGACTGAAGATTCCTACAGACTTTTAGAATGGCCAAAATAGGTTTCAAAACCAATTCAAAATAGGTTTACAAGAAACTAAACCAAGAAATTCCAGTTTTAGAAAATATCCTCAAGAGGGAGGGTGGCTCAGCCGGTTAAACATCTGCCTTTGGCTCAGGTCATGATCCCAGGGTCCTGGGATCGAGTCCCACATTTGCCTCTCTGCTCAGCAGGGTGCCTGCTTCTCCCTCTACCTCTGCCTGCTGCTCTACCTACTTGTGCGCTCTCTCTCTCTGGCAAATAAATAAATAAAATCTTTAAAAAATATATCCTCAAGAAATGACTGCAATGTAATGATCACAGCCAACACTTGCTGAGCCTTTACTTTCTGCCAGGTCCTGGGCAAAGCATTTTAAATGCATTTACTTATGTATTGGGTAGTTCTATTTTTAACTCAAACTTATAAATGATAGAAGAGACTATGAGCATTTGAGTAGTCAGTAAATACACGTTATTCAAAGCTTTCAGAGCATCAGTGATTCTTACAGAAAAAAAAAAAAAAAAGACTAGTGGCTAGAATGTGGCACTGAGTTGGAAAACCCGTATTTAAACTGTACTTAACACTTATGATGACATAATCCTTAACACCTCTAGGTCTCAATTTCCTCAACTGCAAATAATCTCTAAGATTCCTTCTAGTCTGTCCTTTATGATTATTTGTTACCCAAATCACCTAAAACAGTGCTAGAAACAAAACAGTCTCGGACTGAAAATTATTTGAGACAGTAATTTAATAACTTCCATATACTACTACTGTCCCAGAAGCATAAGTACACAGAAGAAACACCTCTGCCTGGGAAAGCTAACCATGACTCATGACTGTGCAATCATGATAAACCAAAAAATTAAAAACAAATAAACCAATCCCTAAAAATAAGAAATAAAATCTAGAGTTTATATTTATAGCAGAGAAACCTCATTTGCAACCACTGATATTCAAAAGTCAGAGAAAAGTTCTGACCAATTCTACATTCATTCATTTATTTAACACATTTATTAAACAAGTATTAAAATCTGGCCCTGACCCAGGTTAAAACTATACCTGTATGTTTTTAATAAGTTTGGTCACAGTTTAGGCAGGGAGACATTTTGTGGATAAATACAATAAAATCTATGCTAAAGTTATTAACAGAATTCTAAAGTAGCACAAACTTCCTGAGATGACATTCAACTTGATTCTTTTATTTGCCAGATGGTTATGCAAGTACATGCTTATGCAAGTAGAGGGTGTAGGTGAAGGCTGGTGGGCAGCAGAGGAGACAGTTTTGCTAAGGTCAGAGTGGAGAAAAGGCAGGGATCATGTTCAGATTATAATTTAGTGTTGCAGAAATAGGATGTCAATTTAATCCCAATTCTCTTATTTTGACATAGACAACATTATTATCAAGGCTGACAGCATTTTACAAATATATGCATATACTCCTTAATAAAACCAATGAGATAGGATTTTACAGATAAGAAAATTAAAGTCCAGAGAGATTAAGTGTTTTGCAGCATTACATGGCTAGTAACTGCTTAAAACCAAGCAGTCTAACTCCAGAGCTGGCACAAGGATTTCCCTTGTAACCACTTCTGCTCAGATGTGGTAGCCCATGCCTATTATTGTCTCACCTATTATTGTCTCACCCATGTAACAGAAGTATCTGTGGAGCTACCCCTGAGCCTCTCCTATGTCATTTATAAGATGAGGGTCTGGGTATCTAACAAGGCACCCCATACAGATTACTGATACATCTTGTCCAGGTGGGCAGTTCTTCCTAAATATTTGATATTTTCTGATAGATTTCTTCTCCTTACTAAACACAACCTTCCCTTTCTTTCCAGAACGATGTGGAAGTCTACCTCAGCTTCCCACTAGGAATGAGACTTAAGAATATTAAGGATAGATAGTTTTTACTCCACATCAAAGAGAATACATAAACTAACACTTCTTTTAAGCCTAAAGAGAAGAAAATTAATTTAACTTCACAAAGTTAAATCAGACGCTACCTTTAGTCCCTCCAATTCATTTTCCAGTTGCTTGGAATAGTGCTCGCTCTGTTCACGCAGTTTCCTGTCTTTAGATGCTTCAGCAGCCACAGCTTCTGTATGAACTTCCAGCTTTAAAATAAAATGAAAAAAGCAGATGTCATGGTTATAATTGTTTTCCCAATAAAAGGCTTTTCCCCATGGGAATTTACGTTGTAACAAGAAGATAACTCAAATGTTGAAATTTGTATTTAATAAAATTACTGAACTAAAACAAAGCAAAACAAAACACGGTTTTCAATAATTAAAGAAGGAGATAGACATTATTCCACTAATCTGAAAAAGCAGCTTTAATCACTACCCCACGGGCACTAGAAAATCTGCCTGACTACTAACCTCTTTTTTGGCTCTCTCTGTTCTGCGCAGTTCTTGCCTTAAGCTTTCAACTTTTTGCATCACCAGGTCCACCTCTTCTTCCTTATCTCGGACATGGCGAGCAAGTTTCTGTTTTTGGGTGTGCAATTCTGTTAGCCGCTCATTGATCTCCATGAACTCCTGCATGGCCAGTTTCCTCTGACAGTGTGCGTCTTTCAGCTCTTTGGACTGGTTTTTTAATCGCTCACTAGCCTGGACTAGTTCCTACAGTTTTGTAAAAAGAATATAAGTTACCAATTCTGCAACCTAGGAACCAATTTTGGCCATCAAAGTAGCTATCATGAAGTCAAGAAGAGCCAAAATTATTCATCTCAGGACAAAATTAAAAGAAATCAGCTACTTCTGAACAGATATTAACAGTAGGGTGCTCTGTTGAGATTCTCGATTCCTGATGCTAATTGTGATGAAGAGCTGATTCAATCTGCCAGTATCTTAGTTTCCACAAATAAATGAAGAGTATAGGAACACCACACACAATGGTCAAAATAAAGATTTTGTGAAATGGAATGGATACTTGCGAGATTTTTAAAAATTATACTGAATCATTACAAATGACAAAAAATAAGGAATGCTCTTATGTGGACACTAAACCTCAGTCCAGAAGCAAGGAGAGAAAGCTAAATAAACTCCTATATCAAAGTGAGAAACCTGGAGTTAAAGCAGCATTTCTTCTGGCAAAAGAAAATGCAAATCGCTTTTGAGTAAAGAGCCTCAATGAAATGTAGGATTTTTAAGAGCAAACAAACTCCAATGATGTTTGGACATTAGAATTATCAAATATTAATATAAAATGGGTACATATGAAACATTTGAGGAGGTTAAAAAAAAAGACTATTAAAAATGACCAAGCAGATTTATAAAACTGTGTAGAACATTTAGAAATATAAAAATATAAGTGTTAAAATTAAAGACCCGAATCCATCAATGAATGCAGTAAGTTCTTCATTTATGAAGCAAGAAAAAGTTTTAAAGTTCAAATCCAGAAACTTTCAAAAAATAGAACTGTGTAGCACCAAATAAAAATAAATGTCTTTAAAAGAAGTCAGTGAAAAAAGACAAATTACAAAGTATTTTCCATCCTCAAAAACAAAAACAAAAGAAGAGAGACTAAGAAGTAACAATAGAAACAGGGGGAAATGTTTCTAATGACGTAAATAATTAAAATTGTATTTTAACTTTAAATTTTAATTTAAAAAAATTTTATTTATTTATTTATTTGACAGAGAGACACAGCGAGAGAGGGAACACAAGCAGGGGGAGGGGAAGCGGGAGAGGGAGAAGCAGGCCTCTCACCAAGCAGGGAGCCCAATGCGGGGCTCGATCCCAGGACCCGGGATCATGACCTGAGCTAAAGGCAGACACTTAACGACTGAGCCACCCAGGCGCCCTTAAATTTTAATTTAAATTAACTAATTTAAATTTCTTTTCAGGTATGAGGCTAAATAATTATATTCATATAAACAAAGACTGACAGAACTTATCACTATCAGATCTCCACTAAATAGAAACCTCTAAAGATTTACTTTAGGAAAAAGAAAAATAATTTTAGAAGCAAAGTCTAGCAGAGAAAGACAATTATCATATGGTTTCACTTATATGTGGAACATAAGGAAGAGCGTGGAGGACATTCGGAGAAGGAAGGGAAAAATGAAGGGGGCAGAAATCAGAGGGGGAGACAAGCCATGAGATACTATGGATTCCAGGAAACAAGCTGAGGGTTTCTGGGGAGAGGCAGGGGAGGGAGGGAGGGCAAGCCAGGTGAAGGGTATTAAAGAGGGCACAGATTGCATGGAGCACTGGGTGTTATATACAAACAATGAATCATGGAACACTACATCTAAAAAAAAATTAAAAAAAAAATAAAAGCAAAGTCTAATGACAGAGAAATGGAGGACTAAGAAACTGGTAAACATAAATGTGAATGTGAACAAACACATGGATGAGACTGTATTATAAAAATGTCCGTATCCAAACAAACAAAATATTTTGTTTATTCCAAACAAAAAGGATATAAGTAAAATATTAATAAAAAACAACATTGGCATTTGGAAGAGGTAACAGAGTTAAAGGTCCTTAAATTGTTTGGGAGGTGTGGTTTAAGATATTAAATTTAGACTCTCTTAAATATGCATGACAAAACTCAAGAGCAATTACTAGAAACTATTAAAACAAGTAGTGAGTAAAGTGGGAAGAAAAACAAACACTTCAATCAAAATTCAAGAAAAAATTTTGCAAGATGAAAAAAATTCTGGAGATTCGTTGCACAACATGAATGTACTTTCACTACTGAATGGTGTGTTTTAAAAATGGTTAGATTTTATAGTATATGTATTTACCACAATTTTAAAAAGGCAAGAAAGGAAACAAAGGCACAAAAAAAAAGCATGACAAACATAAAGCAGAAATTTGATAGAGACTTGTCTATACACATTGATAGTCAAAACAAATATAAAAGGGCAAAGTTTGTTATACCAAATTAAAAAATAATATCTAGATTTTAATAGAAAAAGTATTAATGATAGAGAATGTCCCACACAATGATAAAATTCAATACTAGAAAGAAATGCTATTCTAAACTTTTATGCATTCCACAAGATAGACTCAAAATAGATTACAAAGAAACTGCAAGAACATCATAGAAAAATTGGTAAATACATGACCATAATGAGAAACTTCGATTTGACAATCATTGATAAACTGAGCAGTTTAAAAATAGTGAATATAGAGAGGATGATAAAGCGTTATATGTAGAAGCTGCATCCAATATTGGAACATACATTCTTCTCAAGCACGTAGTGAACATTTAAAAATGGTTGGCGCCTAGCTGGCTTGGTTGGTAGAGTGTATGACTCCTCATCAGGGGTTGCAAGTTCAAGTCCCATGTTGGGTATAGAGATTATTTAAAAATAAAATCTTTAAAAAATAATAATAAAAATAAATAAAAAATGAAAAATGTAACAATCTGTCTAGGCCATGAAACAAGTCTCAGCAGATTTCAAAGAACATATTAAAGATCAAGTTCTCTAATATCATCACCTATAAATAGAAATAAAAAATAAAAAGGCTAAATTCCATAATAACTCACTGGTCGAGGAGAAAAGTGAAAGAATATTAAAATATTTAGAACTAAAAACAAGATGAAAATAACAAAAAACAATAAAATTCTTTAGTACATATATTAAAACTTGAGGATTCAGTAAAAGGTTTACTTAGGGGGAGATTTATAACTTGAAATCCTTGTATTGAAACTAAAAAAAAAAAGATAAATTCAATGAAATTTTGCATAAAAAGAGACAGAACACATTAATGCTTCTGCCAATATGAGAGGATAATAAAAATCAGGACATAAACTTATGAAACAGAAATGTCAGAATAATGAACAACAACAAAGACAAAAGTTGGTTCTTTGAGAAAAATAATAAAACAGGCAAATATCTGGTGAAATCAAACAAGGAGAGAAGAATAAATGCCAAAAGCAATAATACTAAGAAAAAAGGTTATAACTACAAATCTGGAAGAGATTTAAAAAAGCTAATGAAAGAATCTAATGAAAAACTTTGTCAATAAATTTGTTAGCTTTTGAAATGAATGAATTCCTACAGAAATACAATTTACCAAAACTGTTTCACGAAGAAATAGAATGCCTAAGTACTCCTATAATAATTAAAGTACCTAAATCCATAGTTAAAAAATTTTCCCCATCCCCTCAGTGGGAGAGGATTTCCAAACTCAGAGGGTTACATAAGTGACTCCTCCAATGTTTCAAGGAATAAACATTACTCTTATACAAACTTTTATAAAGAAGAGAAAAAGAGGCAATGCTGCCCAACTCATTCTATAAGACCAAAATAATCCTGACATTGTAAAAACACCAGAACAATAGAAAAAAATTACAAGCCAATCATATTGATGAAAACAAAAAATCCAACAACAACAAAAATTTAGCAAATCAACTCCAGTGACATATAAAGCAGATAAACATGAAATCTGGATAGACTCCTTGTATTGAAATTCCAGCTCCAACACTTTCTAGCTCTATGAACTTAAGCAAGTGCACTTGACCTTCTCTGTGCTTGGTCTCACCATTTATAAAATGAGAATAATAACAAACAGTGCTATTATGTGTTACATATACTAGCATATTATCATTTAGGATATAATGCACATGAAATTTAGGTTTAACCCAGAAATGCAAAAATGGTTTAACATTAGAAAAAAAATTCATCAATGTAATTTACCAAACCAAGTTACTAAAGAACAGTCCTATAATTACAACAATATATATCAACAAGCTCCTAGAAATTGGTTGCAATAGTGTACAAAAAAGCACATTAAGTAAGTCCAATACCCATTCCTGATAAAAAGGATTATCAAAATAGGAACAGAAGATAACTTTCTTAACCTGGTAAAAATTATTTACCAAAAACTTACAGAAAACATTATTAGTGGTCAACCAGTAAAGGCATTTTCTTTGAAATCAGGAATAAGATAGGGAAGCCTGCTATCGCGAGTTCTATTCAATATTGTACTGTGGGTTCTAGCTAATACAGCAAGACAAGGAAAGATAAGAAAGGTCATAAAAACCAGAAAAAGAAACAAAACTGTCATTATTTGCAGAGAACCATAAAGAATTTCAAATATATTAGTACAATTAACAAGAATTTAATAATGTTGCTGGAACAAAATCAGTAAGAAAATATAATTTTAAAGATACCATTTAAAATATGAAAAAATAGAGAGAATAATAAATTTAAAGAAAAGCAAATAAGACATGGATAAAATTTTATGGAAAAACATTTTAAAAGATGTTAAAGACATGAAGAGATACACCATTTTTGTGGAAGGACTGTGGGAGTCTAGAGAAAGTATTTCTATATTTTTCTATGGATAGGCCTTTGTAAACAAATTTTACTGAAACTTGGAATCTGGACTAAAAGGAAGTCTTGTAATTTATGTCTAATTTAGAATGAGAAACTCCAGAGAGATTTAACTCCTGAATGTATGTGCTTACGCTTCAGCAAGGGGTGAGGAGAGGTGAGAGGAGTCTGGATCAGGGAGGGATCCTCTTTATAGAGCTTGAGACTCTGGGCTTATCTTTCCACTGGAGTGACTGATCTATATTCCAGTCATAGATCCTTCTCTTGACATTTCCAAGGAGACTCTCAGAAGGGTGGGTGGAGACTGGGGCGGGGGACGGGCAGGGGTAGGAAGCATCCGCCACTCCCTTTATATAAACACCCAGACTCACAACACAGACTCCATATATGTCATGTTTTATCTATCCAGCTTTCATTGCATTGCCCCCAGAGGTAAGAATTAGCACACAGCAGAGGGATGTGGTTATCTCTGCTCTACATATATCACAATACTATACTTTGCTCTTGAAATCTGTATGTGCATTTGGAATAATATTCATAAATATGGATAGTAAGAACTTAAAGATTCAATACTGCAATGATGTCAATTCTCCTGAAATTACTCTACAGATTTAATGCAATTTTAATCAAAATCCCATCACAGTTTTTAAGGAATGAGATACAGACTCATTCATAAATGGAAATGTAACATATGACAGAGGTGACATCACATAACACTGTGGAAAAGAGGGGTTATTTAGTAAATGAATAAGTGGTTAGCTACATAGGAAAAACTGAAATTGGATCTTTATCTCACATGATACAAAAAATAAATTTCTAGTGTATTAAAAATTTAAATATGAAAGACCAAACTTCAAAACTGCAAAATAAAAACTGAACACTTAAAAAAAAAAAAACAGAATTTTTAACCTCAGATTTCTTACACATGCCAGCAAAACTTTAGAAAGATCGATAAATTTGACTACATTAAAACTAAGAACTTCTGTTATTCAAAATCCTATAAAGAAAGTGAAAAGACAAGCCACTAACTGGGAGATATGTGTAGCATACAAAACTGACAAAAGATTAATATAGAAATTTTCAAGAATTCTTAGCTAACCAATAAGAAAAAGACAAACAACCCAAGAGAAAAATATATACAAAGGATACTGAGAGGCATTTCACAAAAGAAATATAAATGATAAATGGGCGTATGTAAGACACTCAACATCATTAGTAATTAGAGAAGTTAAGACCTTATAACAAAATATCATTCTAGACCTAAAATATCAATTTCAACTAAGGTTGGCCAAAATAATTTACCTAATAATATGAAGTACTATTAAATATACACGAGGTGGTGGGAGTTAAAGTATAAATCAGTATATTATAATAAAAATATTTTCATTACTTATGACCCAACTATTCTACTCGTGTTTGTATAAGCAAGTGTGTACAGATCAGTATATATGTTCAAGAATGTTCATTTACAGTAGTTGTCAAGTATAAGCAACCTTAATGTCTGTACACAAAGAATGGTATAAATTCTGAAGTGTTCACATAATGGTATACTATACAGCAACTACATGAATGTTTTATAGCTATTTGGATGAATCTTAGAAATATGATGAGTGGAAAAAAACTACAAGAAATTGCATATACCATTTTATAAAGCTCGGAAAAAAGCAACACTAAATTAAAAAAAAAAAAAATATATATATATATATTCTTTTAACTTCCTATGGCATTAAAAATGCTTTAGCCAGCAAGTTCAATGGCTATACACTAGTCCATCATATGACTTGGTTGGGCATTTCAGTTGTTTCTAATATTTTCTTTTATAAACATGATGAGAAATTTCTCTGTGAGCAAATCTTTGAACGTCTGATTATCTTCTTAAATTTTGACAAATGGAGTTTACTCTATCAAGTATTTCAGTACTTTAAGGCTTTGGATACTTACTGCAAATTAGCTTTCCAAAAATAATATATCAGATTATAATCTCATCTTCAGTATTTGGCACTGGCATTTTATTTTACTGAAGTGTAATTAACATACAATGTTATAGTAGTTTCAGATATATAATACAGAGATTAGACAATTCTATCCTTTACTCAGTGCTCACCATGAGAAATATAGCTACCATCTGTCACCACATACATATATTTTATTATATATTATTTAGAGGTATACTAATATGTAATAAAAATTTTTTCCATAAGGAAATGATTGACATAAAATTCAGTACAGTGATTACCATTTTAATATTACTATAATATTATTAAAACAAATAGAACATGTTATAAACTCAAAATATTATTAGATTGGCCATGAATTTAAATGGAACTTGTATACCACACCGCTTGTAACTGCATTAAGAAAAAAGTAATAATAAATAATACATATGTTAAAAAAAGTAAAAATATACTAATCAATTCAATTTAATCTTTATAGCTTTTTCTGTTAGTCTTTTTTATTAGCTTTTTATTAGCTTCCTCAGCAAAAGGTATTTGTTTTATTTATTTTTAAAAAAGATTTTATTTATTTATTTATTTGACAGAGGTCACAAGTAGGCAGAGAGGCCGGTAGAGAGAGAGGGGGAAGCAGGCTCCCCCCTGAGCAGAAAGCCCGATGCAGGGCTTGATCCCAGGACCCCGGGACCACAACCCAAGCCGAAGGCAGAGGCTTTAACCCACTGAGCCACCCAGGTACCCCGGTTTTATTTTTAATTGCCTCCACTTCTTTACTAACAGCAAGACTTTAAAATCTTCCCCCAAAAGAAATTCATTATATCATCAATTATATATCATTGAATACAATTTATACTACGCCAAAACCACTCATTTCTTTATTGTGTTGGCTAGTATTAATTCCAACATTATTTTATTTGTTAATGAAAGGCAAAATATATACACTGAGTGGTTCAGGTATTCTCTGGTGCTTGAATATTATTTGAACCCTACTGAATGTGTTAGAGTGTCTCTGCCATTAATAAATTTTATTGATGTTCACAATACTGTTTGAGTGTTACATAAAGTTCTTATGAAAATAAATTTAGCTTGTTCATCCATGCTTTGAAAGATAAACTGACATTTTAAAAGATAATTAAAACACTAAAAATTTTTTATTTTAATCTTTTTAAAATGTTCATATCAGCAAATCACAATGAAAATATGCCTATATTTTAAATTTTTCCATAAATACTAACTATGGCTTACTATTTACTTATTCCTTTTTAATATTTTTCAATAACATTTATTTTTTTTAAAGATTTATTTATTCGAGAGAGAGAGAGAGCGCATGAGAAGGGAGAGGGTCAGAGTGAGAAGCAGACTCCCCGCTGAGCAGGGAGCCCAATGTGAGACTCGATCCAGGGACTCCAGGATCATGACCGTAGCCGAAGGCAGTTGCCCAACCAACTAAGCCACCAGGTGCCCAACATTTACTTTTAATTAAGTCCTTTGATTATTAACTTCTCAAAAGAACAAATGATTCTCAACTTTAAAATCTTGAGAATATAAAAGTTACAGGCAACTAAGCCACCCAGGTGCCCAACATTTACTTTTAATTAAGTCCTTTGATTATTAACTTCTCAAAAGAACAAATGATTCTGAACTTTAAAATCTTGAGAATATAAAAGTTACCTCGTTACTAGCTACTAATCAAATGAAATACACCAAAATAATTCCTAAATCTTTAAACTAGTATTTTACAGACAAAATATACTTTACGTTACTGTAATTTACTAGGAAAGCTTTCAGTATACAAATTAAACAAGGTTAAGAATTCAAAAGCAGCTTTAACAATCTACCCACATATTTTTACCTTGTTTAATTCTTCCCTTTCTTGTTGTAGTGTTTTGATTTGTTTTTCATAAGCCTTGATTTGTCGAAAAGCATCATCTAGCTCTCTCCTCACAGAGTTGGCCTCCTCAAGCTGTTGTTCTAAGTGACTTGATTCTAAAAAGAGAAGACAGTGGTTATTTTACTATTTGTATAAAAACAAATGTTTAAAACCAAGGTTTCAACACAACCAATTTTATTTAAAAATAAAGTACTCTGTATTTGGTTTTGGCTTACGGACACTGCATACCACTACGACTATGACTCTGAACAATTAGGTGCTTAGCAAGTTCACTGTAAAGACAGTGCAAACTAATGCCAGTGTGGAGATGCGCGAAACCTGCGTTCAAAAGTGCCTTACATTTCTATTAGAAAAAGACGACCAGACTTCCAACAAAGTACCTTTAGAACCAATTAAAAGCTTAAAATTAATAAAAATGACAAAGCCAACCAAACTGACAAAACAGTGTTCTTCTACGGATGGTTATTAGCATTCGTGTGCCGATATTCGTCAAATTATTATAACAGGGCTGTGCTTGTAATGGGTGCAGACCCACAGCCCTGTTTCACTAGTGGTCATTTGAAGCACATACTCTGATTTCTGAAAGCAAGTGTTTGAAAACCTCTGATCTAGAAGAGGAAACTAAGGCCTAGGGAACTGAGTATCTACCCTGAGGTCAGTATCAGAAGAAAGACGAGAGGGGCGCCTGAGTGGCTGGCTCAGTGGGTTAATAAGCCTCTGCCTTCGGCTCAGGTCATGATCTCAGGGTCCTGGGATCGAGTCCCACATCGGGCTCTCTGCTTGGCAGGGAGCCTGCTTCCTCCTCTCTCTTTGCCTGCCTCTCCGCCTACTTGTGATCTCTCTCTGTCAAATAAATAAATAAAATCTTAAAAAAAAAAAAAAAAGAAGAAAGACGACAGCTCAGAACTCCTGCATCAGCCTCTCCAACTGGAAAAATAAAGTTATCAAACAATACTTAACATTATCACTTCAGAAGAGCTATTAGGAAGCAAAATAAAAATCACTAATTTTGATACATGCTTAAATGTTAATAAATTGATATAAAATATTCCTGGCATCAAAAGTAAATTAGCAAATTAAAGAACTGAAGCCCATAAAAACAGAAAAATATAAACACATTCATTGTGGACTTCTGAACTTGGTATTTTCTATTCTTTACAACCCAGTTACTCTGCATGTTATTTCCAGGCAAGGAGCATTAGCATCCTCTGGAAGCTTGTCAGAAATGCAGAATCCTGGGCCCCACCCAGACTTAATGAATCAGATCTGTATTTGAACAAGATCCCCAGGTCTTGCAAATTCAAGTGTGGGAACAGGTGCATAAAATACTGCACACTGAGTTGAATGCTTTCAATAAACGAAGTAGTGTTTCAAATATACCAGTCCTTTTGAAAAGACCATTTCACGTGTATAGGTAAGTCTCATGGTCAAAAAGTCACTACAATGCACTAATGTAACATATACTAAATGGTGCTAGATTGCTTAAATAAAATAATTTACTGATATTTAGTGCCCTAAGCTCACAGATTTATTAAAGAGCTTGTTTATCTTAGGTATTTTGAAAGTCTAGATACATTAATGGATACGATCATTTTTTACCAATTTTCAAAAGTATCTGCGAAGTTGCATTTAACCAGTTTTCATTTTGTCTAGTAGTATAATTTGAATAGTCTAAACAAATGTTTCACTAAAAGATCATAGGATGTTTAATCTTAAAGATCACAGGGGCGCCTGGATGGCTCAGTGGGTTAAAGCCTCTGCCTTCAACTCAGGTCATGATCCCAGGGTCCTGGGATCGAGCCCCGCGTCGGGCTCTCTGCTCGGTGGGGAGCCTGCTTCCCCCTCTCTCTCGGCCTGCCTCTCTGCCTGCTTGTGATCTCTGTCTCTCAGATAAATAAATAAAATCTTTAAAAAAAAAAAATAAAAAAATAAAATAAAAAAAGATCACAGGGTATGTAGTCATATTCAGAAAATTGTATTTTATCATTTTCTCAAATTTTAACATTTTATGTGGGAAATTTTGTTTGTACTAATTTCTTTGAAACATTTTTAAGTGCTATTTTTCTGTTACTTCAAGTTTTTAACTTTTTTTTTAGAATTCAATAATTTGTTATTTCTAATTATTTGGTGTCAAAATTGAGTATGTGAACATGGCTAACATCAATCCCATTTTATGGTTAAGGCATGTCAGGATGAAGTAGTCATATGGCCTGTTTTGTAATCCCTTCTAGAATATCCACTTCCTTTCTTGCACTCTGAAGAGCTCTTCCCTAGCATGTTAAAAATTTTTGCAAATTACTGAGTCATTCGCTAATCTCAACTGCTTTTTGTTAGAAACAAAAAGGAAATCAGTGTTTCATAAAATGTCTGCATCACATAATATTTATGGCAAAATGATTCTGTGGGATAGCTTTGACAGCTTTCAAGGCTGGTTCTTGTCTTCCTTCAGTGTGGGTTATATTCCAGTTCTATCCCAGCCATTTTGCTTTGGCCGCTTTGCAGCGGAGTTGTTAGGTATATATATGAATTTTATGTCACATTTTCATGTTTCACGTAGACCGAATGGAGAAGACAAACTCAATTATTTATAAAATCTTACCATATGAAGAGAAGTATTACACTTGCATTTGATATACACAGAATTTTGCATTCCCCAAAGATAAAGAACCCAAATCTAGAAAAATCCAGAATGCACTGAATTTTGGCCAACCACTCTACAATGGCTAAGTTGCAGGAAGTTTACATTACTACAACAAATAGTGAATTGGATTAAAATTTTGAAAGAAATCCTCAAAGACAGGGCACCTGGGTGGTTTAGTTGGTTAAATATCTGCCTTTGGCTCAGGTTGTGATTCCCAGATCCTGGGGTCGAGCCCCACATGGGGATCCCTGCTCAGTGGGGAGCCTGCTTCTCCCTTTCTCACTCCCCCTGCTTGTGCTCTGTCAAATAAACAAACAAACAAAAAAAATCTTAAAAAAAAAAAAAGAAATCCTCCAAAACTACCAAAAAATATCTCATGCACCATGATTAGCCATAGCATTTAGATGAAGTAATTAAAAACCAGTTTTAGTGAATAAATAGAAGAAGCAGTACTAGCAAAGGGGGTTAGCTCATCCCAACTAAATGGTTCTTAGCTTACTGCTGCTAGTAAAACTGCCAGATTCAATCTGTTAGCAATGAGGATTTAATAAGGGATTAACACACAGTAAGTAAGTTTTCTTTGCACTGTGTGGCATATAAGAGAATAGAGTCTCTGTCTCTGTCTTGAGGAGATGACCAAGTCAGGAAGACAAGAGTAACACCCTTCAAAACATAAACGAAGAAGAAAATGAAATGCACATTGTGTGACAGGTTAAATGGGAGCTCGGGGAATCACTCAGAGTGGAGCCCAGGCAAACTGCAAGGGGCAAAGGCAATGCAGGGAGCGGGGTGGGGGGGGGGGTGTAGAACCATCAAAGCACCTCGCCCTGATCCACAGCTTCTTCCTTACATTCTTACTCCTAAAATAATGCAAAACTTCTGAGATGTTTAGAGATCTGACTTTGAATCATGATAGGGCAAAACAGGTTCCCCTATTTCCGCCCCCCCCCACCATTCACTATCTTTCATCCTTTACTTACATGATGTAGTGTGTGTGGGATAGAGTTAGAGAAAGGGAGAGAGTGAGAGAGAGTTTGGTGCTGAAAAGATAGAGCATGGAGGAACAAATTACCCATCTCGAGGCAACAAAAGAAAGGGGAATACAAAGCACATTATAGGTTACAATAACTTTTCTATTTAGGAAGTAAGAAACCATTCCTTTCTTTTCTCATGGAAAAACATTAATGAGAGGATGAATTTCTATTTTTATCTGCAGATGGTCAACAAGTATGTATTGAGTGTCTGTTAGCTGACACAAGGAAACTCTGTCTTGCCCTGTTGGGAGCTTGGAGCATGATGAGAAAAGCAGATTTTAAAAAGAAATTTTAAGTAATTACAAACTTATTAACTTTTCTAGGAGTTTAAATATATTATAAAACATTGCCATAGGGAAAGAAAAGATAGACACTGATGATGCTTACTTGTTCACACAAAGATCTGGCTTAAAAAGTAGCTAGAGGAACATCTTTTACAAGGTGATTTGGACAGTTTGTTTTGTTTTGTTTTGTTTTGTTTTAAACAGCCACAAGTATAGTCAGGGCCACTCATCAGGCAAGTCCCTAGGGAGCCTATGCTTTATCTCTAGCTCTTATGTCAAATGTTTAAGGCAGCATGGGTGTAATTATGAATAAGACACAGATGATAATTACCCTCCGCCTGACCACTATGCCTCTGGTACCTACTATAATTTTTGGTATAGAGTAGCAAGACCATAAAAATGTTCACGGACTGAATTAAGAATGAATGAATGTTGGGAATGTAAATAGTACGACCTCTGTAGAAAACTGGGGTGGCAATTCCTAAAAATGTTAAACACAGAATTTCCATATAAATTCAGGAGTCCTACTTCCTGCTATGTGCCCAAAAGAAGAGAAAGCAGGGACGTGAATAAAGATATGTAACCTCATAAGCAAAGCAGCATTATTTACAACAAACAAAAGGAGAAAGCCACCCCAGCACAGGCCAACAGATGAGCGAATAAACAACACGGAGTGTTTACATATACACAGTAGGATGCTGTATTAAGGAAGGACAATCTTTTTTAACATATATTCTTTGCTTCAGGGGTACAGGTCTGTGAACCATCAGTCTTACACAATTCACAGCACTCACCATTGTACATACCCTCCCCAGTGTCTATTTCCCTCCACTCCCCAACAACCCTCAGTTTCTCTCCTGAGATAAAGAGTCTCTTATGGTTTGTCTCCCTCCCCGGCCCATCTTGTTTCATTTCTTCCCACCCTTTCCCCCATGGCCCCCTGCCCTGCCTCTCAAATTCCTCATATCAGAGCGATCATATGATAATTGTCTTTCTCTGATTGACTTATTTCGCTTAGCATAATACCCTCTAGTTCCAGCTACATCATTGCAAATGGCAAGATTTCATTTCTTTTGATGGCTGCATAATATTCCATTTGTGTGTGTGTGTGTGTGTGTGTGTGTGTGTGTGTGTGT